TTATTTTTTTTTTTTTTGACACCCCCCCCCCCCCCCTCTCAAAAAAAGTCAATTTTCGAGAAAAAAACCGAAATTGAGATAAATGCATAGGAAGATAGCCCATGATTCGCTCTTTCAGAAATGATATAGATTTTTTCCAAAAATAGCTTCTTTGGCTGAAATTTTTGATGATTTCTGTGATGCGCTCCATAAAAAATACGATTTTTTCGAAAAAAATTATTTTTTTGGTATAGTACATAATTTAAGAGTTTAAAGATGTTCACCATGTCATAAAGATTCTTTTTATACATAACTCATCATTACATGGATTATTGGTAGTCAAGTTTTTTTAGATAAATGCTAAAAATTTCAACAAACTATAAAATGTCAAAAAAATAATCTTGCAAAAATCTTTTTCGTTTTCTTGAACGTGCATCCCAAATTTCTCTTTAATGGTCCATATAATGTATTAATATTTTTGTTTTTGTTTGAAAGAGCGTGTCAAGATGCAGGGTACCACGTTGTCCTTTTTTTGAAATACGCTCTTTTTATAGTCAATATAATGGCAATGATATAATTTTTTCACCATTTTTTGACAAATTTTTGAGCAATGAAACTTGTTCCCTCTTTTTTTCGATTAAAAAGGAGAACGTAGTGCCCTGCATCCTGACACGCTCTTTCTAACAAAAAAAAAATATTAATACATTGTATGGACCGTTACAGAGAAATTTGGGATGCCGTTTTCTCTATTTTTCGATCTTGTTTCGTCAATATCTTCCCCAAATGAAATGGTTTTGGGCNTTCTTCCTTAATGGATTTCTCTAGGAATAGTATCCCAAAATAGATAGAATAACACAATTTTTCTATGATTAGCGACAACAATGGTATCGTGTTTTATATTTTATTCCCACAGAGATTGCACTAATAGCTTTAAAAAGAAATATACTTTTAATAATGCCATACTAATCTGAGACGAACTTAAATAAGGTAGAAATCGAATCAGCTGAAATTTACAGGATATGTTAGAGACATTAAGGGAAGTCTATGATAAAATTTTCAGCCCAAAACCATTTCATTTGGGGGAGGGGGGCTTAATAATCAATTTAAATATAATTATCAATCTCTATATATACTTGATAATAGAAAATAATAAACTATTATGTTTATGATCTGATGTTGTTCTAAATAAATAAATAATGAAATGAATAATATTCCTTTAAATATATATTTATGCTTACCTACTTGAGAATAAATGTATAAATCGATGAAGCTATAGCAAAAATAAGTATCTAAAAACAAAATAAATCTTTTAAAATAACATCATATAATTAAATGAAATCTTACTTCTCCATTATGAAGTGGTGTCAATACATTTCGATATACAGCCATTTTAAATAAAACTTCAACTGCCTATTACATTATATATATATAATACAAAAGGATTAAAAAAAAAAGAAAAACCTCACTAAATTAGCCATGTAAAGAGCCAAAGCACCTCGTCTAAAAATCAATAATAGTTAAAACTATTTCAAAATCTTTTCACTTACCGTTGTTTACGTTCGATCAAAATTCCGGGAAGAGTACAAAGTATAATTTGAAAATACAGTTTATAATAACTTATATGACCAAATATTTTTCTACATATAAAAAAAAAAAAAATAAAATATTAATCAATCATTCTTTTTATCTACCTTCCACAACAACAAGTTGGTAGAAAAAATAATCCTTGTATACCAAGAAAAATCGTTGATTGCATTATTTCAGTAACTAAACCAGTTAGAAGTTCACGTAATTGTTTTAAGGTTTTAATTTTTCTTAATTTTATAAGTCCTGTAACCTACATAAGTGAAGAGAAATTTTTTATCAATAATTCAAATGAACAATTCTTACTGCATATAGAACACAATAAATTTTAAATGACTCTGTAAAAGATGGTTTTGCAAGAGACCATGTCGCTCCAATACAACTCTCATTCCATGGATGAATTACTTGATTACATTGATAAGGTAATATTGGACGTGATTGTATAGCCATTATCTGAAAATGTAATAGAAAAATTTTACTTTTTGTGCTTTTTTTAATCACTATAACTATTGATTTCATTTATGGATAGTATTCAAAATCAAAACGATTTTTTTTGAAAATAATTTTTTTTTGTAATTATCAGTATGAATTAGGAATGGATCAATCATGAGCTGTGGCGTGGTGTTCGGGACGAGCAGTTCGCCTTCGGACTCTATCTTATCAATTCAGATAGTGTCGAGTATTTGTGTGATTGCCCAAGTATTTCTTGAGAAATATGGACTATTAAGGAAGCATCCTAAGATTTGCTTAAGTTCGAGTTCTAGTATTTCTAAATATTGATGATTTTATTTAATATGTTTACAAATTTCGGATTTTCGGATCCTTTATTACATTGTGTGTAAATCTACAATAGTCAAGTATGAAAATGATCTCTTTTAGATTTCTTCTGTTTTCTTTTATTAATTGAATGCAAGTGATCGTAGTCAAAATCAAACTGAAACAAACGCTCGGATTCAGTGCATGGCTAATACCAATGTAAATACATGAGATTAAGATAATCCAAGATTTACAATAAAAATCTAACACATAGTACAAATAGTTGCGGCGTTTCCATTGTATCTGTTGGTAATTTGTTCCAAATAATTAAGTATCATAGGAAAAAAAAACATACAATTCATGATAAAAAAATGAACACATATTCATTTGATTAAGGTTAAGAAATACTTCTTTGAATCAATTTTTACTCAAGGGCGATCAGAAAGTTTCGACCCCTCTCAATAAATCGATGATATCTACAATAAACTTCTATGAAGTTATTGATCAAATTATATCATTTTGCAGAGAACGATTAGAGCTATATTCTGAAAAAAAGATAGTTCGAAATACAGAAAAACAATAACAATATTACGGTCATTTTACTAATATTGAGTAAAAATTTTTAAGTAACATTTTTTTTCAAAAACAAAAATTGCTTGTAACATCCTAAGCGACATATTGTTTTTTAGATATTTTTATATAGTTCGATAGAGTTCGACAAACTCTACGAGAATATGAATTTTAACAAGAAGTTCTGATCTTATTTTCAATATAAAACTTGAATGAAATCAGAAAGACTAATAAAAATTTCATGTATCAAATATTCCCAAGAGTAAGCTGAATTTTGAATAGCTTCAGCTGGTTAAGTGTTCCATCTGTTCATGTAGCTCGCAAGTATTATTTGCAGCTTCAGTTTATGACACTATATCTCGAAATATCAATTAAATAAAGTTATTGAAAGTTAAACATACTATCTCATGCAACATATGCAGGATTTTCATGAATCTGCGTGGTTTCGTCTGAGTTTTACATTGAAAACAGGATTCGCATTATTCTTAATATTCATATTCTTGTAGAGCTTGTCGAACTCTATCAAACCATATAAAAGTATCTATTAAAAACATGTAGAAAATAATATTTCGCTCGACTCTAACGATTCAAACATTCAAGACTATTTTTACTTTTTCAAAAAATGTAACGTAAAAAGTTTTACTCAATATTAGTAAAATGATCGTAACATTGTAATAGATTTATGTATTTCGAACTATCTTTTTTTCAGAATGTAGCTCTAATCTTTCTCTACAAAATAATATAATTTGATCAATAACTACATAGAAGTTTGTTGTAGATATTATCGATTTACTGACAGGGGTCGAAACTTTCTGATCACCCTTATCATATGCATAATAAAATTAAAATAATTATTATTCTATATATGAATACGTTCGTCGCAAGACTACCCGTAAACTTAACACAACGGGAAAATTGCAGATTTAGAATGTCGAGCATCTTTTCGTAATGAAACTTAGTCATGATACTCATACAGTTATGAAAAATGAAATAAAAAATTGAGATTTTATCTTTGGATGAGAGTTATATTATTCTAAATCGATACTTCTTCGCTTAATACTAGACTATTTTTTTAGAAAATAACGAATTTTCATAAAGTTAGATCAAAAGTTTTCGAGGTGTAAGAATCCGAATCTACAGATATTTAATCGAAATTATCGAGCTCAACCTACTTTTCATCATTCATCCACATTTTATAAAGTTCATTTAAATATACCTCTACTAATCGAAAAATCTAATTCAAGATTTTTGACAAACTATCTGTAGATTCAGATTTCTCGATCTCGAAAATCTTTGGTAAAATCTAAAAAAAATTTGGTTATTTTCAAAAACTAATCTAGCCTTGATAGGAAAAAAACGAATTAAAACTATTAGTTTTCTCCTTGCTATCATTTAAATATCTATCATATTTCATAAAACTATATGAACAGCTCAACACCTTGTCATCAAATTTTATGCTTAGATACTGCACTTATTTTTATATCACACAATACGAAAATAATAACATTGCAGGTTAATGAAATACGCATAAAAATGACATTTTAATGAAGCAAATATAATGAATTTGATGTTTAATTCAAAAATCATAGATCATTAAATTTCTGATAATATTCATTTCATTATTTTAATGGAATTTTTTTTCTAAGTTTCTGGGCATGAAATGAATTCACAATGAAATTCGAACTAAATACATCTGAAAAGATCTAATGAAAAACTTATTTCTACGAAACAATATTGAAAATCTAAAACAACACAAAAAGAAAAATTTCATAGCTTTATCTGGAATTAGAATATACAAACAAAAAAAAAGAAAATAAATTGCTTTTTCTAATTTGCAAAATATCATCACAAGACTTTGCTTTTTTTATATTAAAGTGAAAAGCACCGAACTTTTTTTCAAAATCGTGAATATGTTGACTATTTTGCTTTTTATCGAAATACTTAGTATTGGAAATACACATATTATAACAATCTTCAGATTTTTGTGTTTTAAGATTCACTTTTAATTATTGGTTGAGGTTTAAATCAATCAGACAATAAAAGACTCGAGATATTATTCGACATATGTTTTCTATGAATAAATAAGAATTTTTTTTAATTTATTTGTATCATAGAAAGATCGGAAGGAAATTAGATCACTTAATATATGTTTAGATAAGAGTACGATAGTTAGCGCTAGTTGTCTTAGGCTTGTTCATTCTTGTTTAATGATAAGAGATAATGATAAAACATTTCAAACAAATTCGTTCTTGAATACATGCATATTATAAATATTTGTGCTACATCAAAATGATGAATTGAATATGCTTATCTTTTAATATGATTATTTCTAAATATATAATGTGAAGGATTTTTTTTTTAAATAACTCAATTATTGATCAAAGTTTATACACTAGCAGTATCAGTTAGACATGATGAATATTTATAGAAAATATTTAGAAAAATTAATAGAAATCGTGGCAGAAAAAAGTAATTATACGTAATAGACACACCCTCATTTAATGAATCATAAGAAAATAAAAATAGCTACGACAAAAATAAAAACTATAAGGATGATGCAAGTTACTCTATATATCTCATTTTTTTTCCTTTGACGCATTTATAAAATGATGTGAAGAAGTATATGAATCGTTGGTAACCAAACAATGAGTCATAAACATCCGTCAATAGATCAACTAAATATTTTCTAAGACAGAACGAGAGAATTGCTCAATTGATTAGTTCCATATGTTCATATATGATTGGTGCATTGCTTTGAATACAAGTGTTGAAAAATAAATAATAAATACACTATAATGATGATATAGAGGTCAAACGACCAATCCTACTTTCGAATTATAGTCAAATTTTTTTTATTATGTTATGAATTTAGAAATTTTTTTTCATAAAAATAATCATTTAATAGATAAATATTATGAACAAAGGAGGCTACAAAAGTAATATTTCGATTGGCATTCATTGATTGGTTAATAAATAGTTGAAGGTTTGATATTCCTCCCTTCCTGTACGTTTGGGTATATGGAATTTCTTATCGTTCTCTTGTCTGTTACTTTCTTTTTTTTTTTTCTCTCTTTCTTTCTTTATATTCTTCTTCTATAGAACAAAAGCATCTACAACAAAGACCCCTTTATTTTAGTAACTATTTCTTTCACTCTTTTACAAATAGCGTGTTAGACTATTTTCTTTGCTGGAGTATATCATAGTGTAAACAAGTTTCCGATTTGACCTATTTAATTTTATCTCAAAAGAAAATAAATAAAGGTAATTAAGTTTTATTTTGTTAATATACAGAATGAATTTTTATAATCATTGTATATACATATAAGTTTATAATTATTCATAGTTGATCGATACGAGGAAGAAGGAAAATGAAAGAAAAGAAAAACCCAATAGTTACCATAGATTGATGTTGAGAAAAAAAAAGATGATGAAATGAGTAAAATCATCTTGATATATATTCATCTATTCATTCGTTAATACGTAGTACGATAACGTAGGGTGACGTGGAAAAATGAATCATTGACCTAATTTCCTTTTTATATAGCTGACAATCTTATCTGCACACTAAGGTTACAAATATAATGATTATTCGTTTTTTTTTTACTCACATTTTCTTTTGATTATGTTAATATTCCGTGCTAGAAGAAATATACATATGTTTCTCTTTTGTCTGGTTTTTGATGATTATGAATTATTTTTCTTCTTGATTTTATAGTTTGTATTTACATTTATTAACGCTATTGATCTAATAATTAATTCCAATCGAAAGAAAAAAAATGGATCGAATGATATCAGAAAATCATCTTTCATCTTCTTTACAAACAACATTAGCTGTTGGTGGTGCACTTGCACTTGTTGCTGGTGCTGTTATTCATCGTCATAAAGATAAATTATCATCATTTCTTGTAGAAAATCTTGTTAATGAAGAAATGAATCAAGATATTGATTGGCAACAACTTTCTATTCCAGCTCAGGTTAGTTAAAAACAAAGAAAATTTTTCAATGATATACAAGCATTTGACTTTAAACTGTTTCTATAAATGAAAATTCTTTAGACTAGGGAAAAGATATTATAGGTTACAAAGAGTGCAATATTGTCGATTCTTTTGAGTCGTTTATAATTTATTTGAACATTATACTAAATATAGTATATTCAAATACTTGAATGAAACAGGACTTGATTTTTTTTTTCGTTCCTTAAATAAATATTATATAATAGTAATTCAATGCTGCTTTTTTTTTCAGGCCCAAGGATGTCCAGAAGCACGAGTGGCTACATCACTTGGTTCACGGCCATTAATCACAAATGGTAAATCGAAGATTGACGATCATATTTTTACGACATTTTATGAAGGTTTTAAAGTTGGCAAAGATATTGCAAATAAACGTGGTAAATTTTTAATGATTCGTACTTTTTTTTTTTTCTCATATATTTCTTTTTTATTGACTCTAGGAGATAATAGATGTCTAGGTTATCGAGTAGATAATCAATCTGATTATCAATGGGTGACATACGATGAAGTAAATAATAAAAATTCTATTTCATTCAAATAAATATTTTCATTTTTAGGTCGAACGTGCTGCTACCGAAATCGGTAGTGCACTTATTCATTTGGGTGAAAATCAAGGACAAAATACATTCATTGGTATCTATGCAGGCAATAGTGTTGAAGTATAATTATTTAATTTTAACATATATAAATATATTTTTAAAATGTCAATATTTTAGTGGATGACTACAGCATTAGCATGCCATTGTCATAGTATGATTTATGTACCACTTTATGATACACTTGGAGAAGCTGCAATTATTCATATTATGAATCAGAGTAAATTTTTCTAGGATATATTTTATTGTTTAAGAATTTATTTCTTTTATTTATTATAGCTTCATTAAAAACAGTTTTTATTGATAGAGCTGAAAATGTTCTTACTTTACTTAAACTTGTTGAACAAGTGTCAACATTAAAACGAATTGTATTAACAAAAAAATTAAAAATCGATCAAGAAAATGAAATTAGAAATAAAGCTAAGGAAATTGCAGTTGAAATAGTAACATTCAATGAATTATTAGTAAGATTAGAAAATAAATTTTTATATAATAAATATATTTTTCTTTTTCATTTAGGAACTTGGTCGATCAAAACCAGTAGCACATCATGTAAGAACAATAAAAAATAGATAATAATAGTTTGAGTTTTTTTTTTTTTTTTTTCAAATAGCCACCTAAACCTGATGATGTATTTGAAATTTGTTATACAAGTGGTACGACAGGTTTACCAAAAGGTGCAATGTTAACAAATAAAAATATTGTTTGTTTGGTTCAATCGGCAACTGAATTTTTTGTAAATTATTTTTTTATTAACATAAAAAAGAAATATTTTGTTTTGCTTTTTTTTTTTTTACATAGAAACCTGTTTTTACTGAATTGGAAACATTGATTTCATATTTACCATTAGCTCATTCATATGAACAAACTATTGAAGTAAATTTTCGAGAAAAAAAAAAATTGTTATTTTTGTATATTTTCTATTTTTTTATTTTTCAGCTTTTTTGTTTATGTAGTGGTTTTAAAATTGGTTATTACTTAGGTGATGTACGTCAATTAGCTGATGATCTTGCTCGTTTAAAACCAACAGTAATGCCATGTGTACCTCGACTTCTTAATCGAATGGTAAAAACAAATATTTTAATTTTTTTTCATGGAGTTCACATTAGACTTTCCGAAAAACAATATAGTTAGTGTAAGTTTTAAGTTGAGATTTTGCGACTCGGTTCCATAGTACGAAAGATAAGGGTAAGGTCAACGATCATTAGGTACATTTCGCTAGCAACGGGTAGGAGGAAGGTTAGCAGTGGCTGAATACATTTCCCTCCTGAGGGAGTAAGGAGGTCGACGATCATTCGTAGCAAAGGGGAAAAATTGTTGTACAGCATTAACAAAAGATTTAGACTGTTTTACAAGATCTCAAAGTCTTTCTCGAGATTTGAATGTGTGAAATAGTGCAGTTTTTTAAATTTTTTGCATAGATAAAAATTTCTATTCATTATGCCAAGGACGATGGAGAATGATATGTTGATTTGTCACAGTCACTATCTGATCACTGTGAAAATTATGAACTAATCAAGTTATAATTTTGGGAGAAAATCAATATTAGTGTTTCTCAGCCTATCGAGTCCTAGAAAATGATTATAGTTTGGTGAAGGTTTTCTTTTTTCTCGCTTCAGATTTTTTTTGATAAAATTAATGTTTCTTTTTTAGTATGATAATATTCAAACAACAATTCGTCAATTAAGTCCACTTAAACGCTTTTTATTTAATATGGCATTCTCAGCTAAAGGACGTGATATTGATGAACATCGTGTAACACGTCATATGCTTTGGGATGGTTTAGTTTTAAAACGTATTCAAGAACGTCTTGGTGGACATGTTAAATTAATAATTAGTGGTGCTGCACCATTATCACCATCAATTCTACAATTTCTTAAACGTGTTTGTGGAGCTTATGTTGTTGAAGGTTATGGACAAACTGAATGTTGTGGTGTATCATCATGTCAAACACTTGGTGATCCAACTGTTGGAAATATAGGTGTACCATTAAATTGTAATATGATTAAATTAGCTGATGTACCGGATATGCAATATTTTTCCAAAGATAATGTTGGAGAATTATGTATCAAAGGTGGAAATGTATTTAAAGGCTATTATCGAGATGAAGAAAAAACAAGAGAAGCACTTGATAATGAAGGATGGTTACATACGGGTGATGTTGCTAAATGGACAGCAGTAAGATGTTTTTGTTTTTTTTTACGTTTTATTTTCGAATATAATAATACAGTATTTTATTTGTAGAGTGGTCAAATTCAAATTATTGATCGCAAAAAACATATGTTTAAATTAGCACAAGTATGTATAGAACGAGATTGAATAGATAAAGTTTTACAAAAACAAAAAGAAAGAAAGCGACATCTATCGACAACGAGGTCATTTACTGCATAATCTGTTCAAAAGAAAATTAATAAACTCCTACATGCATTCATATCGAAAGCAATCATTTAAATTGTTCTAATCTACCTGATGAAAAAATTTCTATATCTCAAATATTTATCTAAGGATGAAAGTGAGGCTATTCTCTTAGGATACTTCAATAAAACATATATTGATTATGTAATATCATCTCATCTAAAATAATGCAAATTCAATATAATGAAAATTCTCTGTTCTATCGATTATACGTTTAATAAAACATTTGTTAAGATCAGTAAAATTTAATTTTTTTTTAATTTTTTTTTTACATTTTAGGGTGAATATGTTGCACCTGAACGTATTGAAAATATTTATATTCAGAGTAAATTTGTTGCTCAAGTGTTTGTTTATGGTAATGGTTATAAGGTAAAATAATTGATAACTGGTTTGTTTTTAAATTATTTTTATCTTTGAATAGAGTTACACAGTCGCCATATTTGTTCCAGATGCTGATATACTAGAAAAACATGCACGAGAAAATAATATTTCAGGCGATATTGTAGAATTATGTAAGAAAAAGGAAATTAAAGATTTAATATTTCAGGATATTAAAAAATTGGAAAAAGCAAATTCATTAAAAGGCTTTGAAATGGTATGTAAATCTTTGTTTAAATATTATAGAAAATATAGTTTTCCTTTTTTTTTTTTGTCTTCGAAGGCAAAAGATATTTATCTTCATGCCGAACAATTTTCAATTGAAAATAATCTTTTAACGCCAACAATGAAAACAAAACGACCGGAATTAGCGAAATATTTCGAAAAAGAAATCGATGAAATGTACAAATATATTGAATAAATATCTTGTGCATATTCTTATTCTCCAAGTCAGATGATGCGTTTATCAGGGAATACTCTCTTTCTCTCTCTCTCTCTCTCTCTCTCTCTCTCTCTCTTTCTTTATTATTTGTTGTTATTCATTTATTCAGGACATCCCCGTATTTGTTTTTTTCTTCTCTTATTTTATTTCGTCCGTGCATTCTGGAGGATGTCTTTGCTAGTTGATTCATTCCTTACAAACTCATTTATTCTATATCCGTTCCGGTTACTTTTTTTATGTATACTCCCTCTGCATCTATCAAGAACTTCTCTGAGCATCTTTTGGACTTGATCTGCACGAATGAAACATTGGCATATGGAGCTTCTGTTTTCTTTTTGTTGTTATTGTTGTTTTGTTTCTATTTCCTTTTCTTCTTTTTTTTTTTCCTTTATTTTTTTTTGCTCTCTATCTGTGGATGGTGTTTCTTTCTGATGCTTTTAAAATATGTGTATCATCACATAAAAATATCCAAGAAGATAAAAATAAAAGAAAAAATTACCGTTTTAAAATACATAAATAATTTCAAGATAAAAGAATCATTTTGAGATAACAGAAAAGAAAAACTGTCAAAATTAGTTGTTTGTGATTAAAAAACATTCATATCAATGTTAGTTTTGATTATATGAAAGAATTCGTGTCAATAGCAGATCGACTGAACTTGAAATCGATTCTATTCAGCATGAATCAAATCCGATAACAAAGAATATGTATTAACATGTAAAGTGAGATGATATCCAATATCGAATTGAAAGAAAATTTATGTTAAAGTTGAATTTGGATTCTTATCTATGAACTTCGAGAGAATCGATACAATCGTCCATAGATAAATCAAGTAAGAGATTCGAGCTGCTATGAACAATTTTCTATTGAAGCAGTTCTTTTGTTTGAAAAACCACCTATGACTTCTCTCACTCAATCTTTATTGATCCACTGATGATAATATCAGTTCCCACCCAGTTCATCAATAAGAATTCGAATTTGAGCTTTTACATAGATTTCCTTCTTAATCTGAGATTGGCTTAGATCAATGATGGATTGAAAGGCAAAGTCGGATACTTTCAAAAAGAGTGAAACCAAAAATTTTTGCTAATAACTTCGGCACTGCTCAAGTCAGACATATGTACCGCATCTAGATATTAAGGTCGGNCGGCGCCCCAAGGGAGAAGCACAGGCGCCGGGTGGAGAGAGGCGGGGGGGGGGGGGGGGGGGGGGGGGAGGGGCACCTACTTACCTAAGAAAAATAACATCAAGTTGAAAATACCATGAAAGAATATTTAATTAGGCAAAGTATAACCAGACGTATATATGTACTGATAAGATGGTTGTTTTCATCGTAATTCATTTTGTAGGTAAACTTGCGCAAATTTAAGTTTAAGATAAATTAAAATATTATGCTCGTTACAATGAAATTTATTAAGTTTTGACTTAGATCAATTTGTGTATCAGGATAGTTATTAATCAACATTAATTTATAAATTTAACAAATGAGTATGAGATATTGTAATAAAACAAACGGTATCTCGGAAAGAATGAGTCTGTCAATGATCATGAAATTAAGACGCGACCGCCCAAAAATGAGTCACACTTGCCGTTAGGATACCGGCGATGCATATCCTAGTTCAACTGTTGTATAATCGCAGAGATCAGTCTACGATAGTAACTGGGGTAAACTATGCATATTTCTCATAATTGGATAGAAACAGAAGTCAAGAATAGCTAAAAGTATGATTGAGCACTATGAAAATAAGCGAGATCTTTGTTTTTTGCTGAAAAAAGATATATTTTTTTTTCTATAGCTGTTGTTCGGTGAAGCATCTCCAATAGTAATCTATCACAATAAGAGATAATTTCAAGTATAGTTATCTTTGTTCAAAAGCTCATTTTTTCCTAATATTTCTCCGTTCTATTGAAGATTCTTTAACTTAATACATATCTCAAGACTGGCAACAGAAGAAAATTAAAAAAAAAAAAGAATTACCAAACCTTAATATCCTCTGTTAAATAAAGAAACATGAATAAGCTTTTCTAGTCGAGTTAGCTGAATATGGCCCTAGCTCCTGCTAAGAACAAGATATAAAGGGTGTTCCAGATATTCTGAAACGATTTTAAGAATTCACCGTTCTCGCATTCTACAAAAGCAAATTCGCTGAAACTTTGGTAGATTGTTGTACATATGTGG